GTCATATAAAAAGGTCAAATCCCCACAAAGTTAAGTCTTCCACCATAAGTTTGTGGGAGATTGCATTCGGGCATGACTAGCAGGAAACGTCCTGCCGTTGTGGAAAATCCTTGCAAAATACGATCCCTCTTGAAATTTTTCTGGTACTACCCGTCTTCCCCATCCCCCACCACCTACCTCCTACCTACCATCTCCGTGCGTATTAGCAACTTCCTACCCCTCTCCACTGTTACAAAAAAAATCCAGCTTCTTCCTTTCTTCCTAGAAACCATGCGTCTGATTGTGAGCGAAAGGGGTCATGGAAGGCCGGAAAATTCTCTCTAACGCGAGTAGGACCCCTTTCCCTCCAGCGAGCAGATACGACTCCCTTGCTAGAGATCCCAACGTACGACGTGCCTTGATTACTAGAGGAACAATGCCTTAGGAACGTGAGGGGTAAGATCACTTTGCAACTATCCATTGATTCTCCCCGGATACGCCACGCACTTGACACTCATTCCAGAACTTTTGGCGGGAAAAGAGCTTGCGAGTGCCAGACAATGTCATATTCAGTTCTCTACCAGAGCACATCGCTGTGAAATTCGTAGTGTGGTCGCACTTGGTTTCCGTGAAGGGGAGGGGACCATGTCTGAACCTTTTTGTTAATTGATTTTTCACTTCTGTTGCGGTGCCTATCCTGTCCTCCCCCTCAACCTCCTCAATAGGACACGCTGTGATTTGTTGGGATGGCAGTAGTGGGGAATCATATCGAAGAGGGAATTTGGGGATGGGTCGTATTTAGTGGAATTCTCCACAATTTTTTGGATAATTCTTCCTAACAGCCCTATTTTCAGACGTACTTCAACGACTCCGCGTTGACGTTGATTCGTACTCTAGTGACAGGCGGTGCCACACCGGAATTGGAACTGATTCTTGCCGAAGGTGCTGGTCTACGAGGTGGTTATAGCACACCGGAAACCCTGTCAAACCGTGATCGATGCCGAATCGCTCAAATCGCTCTGCACGACAACCCGTACGAGGGAATCGGGGTAGGCTAAGTTTGACCCCTAATTTTTACACGTATTTTAGTAACCTAGCTTTATTTCAGCACAACTCCACTTACGGCCAGATGTTCACTACGTCATTGAAAAAGTACGGTCAGTTGTGTATCGGGCTGTATCGGTTACACGACCAGGACAACGCCGAGTCAGTGAAGCGATACGTGATCACCAACCCTCCAGCCGAACTTCGGATAAGGAGCTCCGATTATGTGAGTGACGAAACTGAACTTGACCGACATGCAACCTTCCTAACCTAGACCAGGGAGGAGAAGAGCAACCAAATAGGCGGAAACTGGACAAAGGCAATTAGGGGCTGATAACTTTGAAGGGGGGGGGGGGGGCACGCTGTAAGCCGCTGCCAGCTCAACAGATCCCTGTGAGACTGTTAAGCATGTGAGCTTACCAACAAACTTGTTCAACCCCTTGTATCAATAGCAGCTTGGTTTCACGATCAAGCACCTTGTGCTGTCAAATTGCTGTCAAAATTAGTGGCCAAGATTAGGGAGAAAATGAGAAATGGCGTTCCAATGACCACAATTACCATTTCTGCTTGTGCTGGTACCATTTCGCCAAGCATCACAAGGGCTTACAGGGTACTTGAGAGGGATTTACAGGGCTTACAGGGTGAGCACGGCTGTGAAAAGACAAAAGAAAAAACATAGACCAAGACACACACAAGCCTTTTAAGGTGTGACAGCCCTGCACTCCCGCCATTCTCCCAAGGTTGTTAGCGCTGCCAAGTGAATTAGTTGTGCCCCTAACGTTGCCCTTACTTTTCGTAATTCGTCCTGCTGGGTTGTCGGCCACCATAAATGTGTGAAAGCGCTGCTCTTATTTTCTGGATCGCGCCACGCACTTGCTTTTCGCCTGGAATTGTGAAGGTGTTCAATTGCCCCTCCACCCACCCCTTCCCACCGCTGATCCAGCAAAGTTAGCAGCAGGTACCAGAAGCACTTAGAGGTTCTGTGTACAGTTATTGTCCGTGCAAACGAGAGGGCGTGTGAGGGGCGTGGGTTGGAGTGCGCAGCCAGAGCGGCCTTTTCCACCAATCGATGTCATCCTGCGGCCCGCAAAAGTTGGTGGGAAAAGCTGCTCTGACTCCGCCTGCATGCTTACAGTGATAATTGCTGCATCTGCAGTGCCATTTCTAGGTCTAGATTTTTCGAGACCGCCTAAGTTAAAGCTTGCTCTAGGTTACGTGAGATTGCGTTGACCACAAAGAGTGCGATCTCACGAAGCGCGCAAATGATACAGTCTTGTTGGCTGCGGATGCTAGAGCGTTTCTGGGGCTGGCTTTGGTGTAGCGTCAGCTCTTCCCGCAGCCACTGTGGAGCCTGGCAGGCGACCAAAATCGAAAACAGGCTAGCGCCGTGTCGAGCCTTGCCCCCTAAACGCCCCAACGTCCGCAGCGAGCAGTACGATAGACGCCTATAACCGTTCCCGAACGCTGTCAGTAGCCAGGAGCTGATTCATAAAGCTGCTGATTGTGATTTTTTTATTGCAGGTGTACGTGCTGGAGCAGTTCGATCCAGGCCTCGAATATGAGCCAGGGAAACGACAGTTTTGATGGTCCCATTCACAGTTACGGATACGATTTGCTCAAGAAATTCTGGTCCTTCCATGGACCTCGATCCTCTTGCTTGGTGCACTTTCGGTGATATGATTCTCTGGTCCATTATTCAATTTGCTTTTTGTAATTGTTACGCACCCAAGGGGGGTTACCATCATAACTGGTTGCCACGAACATGAGTCAAAAAGTCCGACTTTTTGTCGTCTTCATAATCTCAACATAATCGTGTTCGGGATAGGTGGTTCATTTGATATTACACGCTCAAATTCCATGCAATAGGTTCAGGTCACAATTCTCGTCATCTCATTTTGTGTTCATATATCGATTGTTTTGTGTGGGTGTATTGATCGATGTTCTTCAGCTTCGGTAATCTGCCGTCTATAGAGCTTTAATGGATGTTTTCACTGTTTGGAAGAGATTTTCTTGAAGCGATACTTTCACTGTTTCCTTACACTAATAAGGGTATCTCATTGTATGAATCAATTGCCTTTAATTATATTTCTTGAATAAATTTATAAATCTGAAAGTCTCTATGGATCACTGCGGTTATCTTAAAAGTCCGCCCGTGTCGTCACTGTCCAGCTTCTCCCTTCGTAAGCCTTAGGCTGCGTTCATACTTTGCCGCAGCGTCCGTCAGCGACCATTAGCACCAGCGTTCCGAGCGTCTGCTAGCGTCGGCGACTAGGAAGGTGTAGATAGCGATTCAGCGTCTGCCAGCGTCCCCCAGCGTCTACTAGCATCTACCAGCGTCCACCAGCGTCTCGAGGGCTAGGGAAGTATAGGTATCGATCTAGCGTCTGCCAGCGTGCACCAGCGTCTACCAGCGTCCGGGAGAGGAGAGTATGGCGCGATAGATGGTAGCAGACAGCTGACATTCGCGCCGTACTCTCTACCAGTCTGCCACCCTCCTATCTCCCCATACTCTACCAGCTGTCTGCTACCTCCTATCGCGCCATACTCTCCTCTTCCGTAGACGCTGGTGCGCGCTGGCAGACGGTAAATCGATACCTATACGTTCCTTAGCACACGAGACCCTGATCCACATTCAATACCTATACTTTCCTAGGCTTTCGATACCCTGGTGAACGTTGGTAGACGCCGGTGAAGGCTGCTGCAGACGCTGGCAGACGCTAGACCGATATCTATCTTTCCTAGTCGCCGACGCTGCCGGACGCTCGGAAGTCTAGTAGACGCTATTGGTCGCTGGTGGACGCTGCCTCAAAGTATGCGCAGCCTTAGTCAATGTAACTGCTAGCCCTTAAGTTTTCTTCAGTACTAGGAGGGTTGTTATGAAACCCTCTACTACGGCCTGACGTTTCGACTAGATCGTCTTAATCGGAGGCCTAAACGAGGGCGGAGAATGCAGACTGCACCCGCTCGCTTCTCCGGCACTTTCATGACACGATACTGCAGCTGTGGATCCATTCTGCCCACCTACGGCAAGGACCAGGACCCGCAGAGGTGAGTGTACAACTTGTTTTCAAATGGACGCAATGAAACCGCGCCCCCTTTGTTGGTCTATGAATGAGGGGGGACATTCACCAATCTCTCACGAACGATTTGCGATGAATTACCAATCACACGAATTACTCGTTGATTGTGAGTCACAATTCTTTCTTGATTTCGTTGACCATTTTTAGTTTCATCAACGTGAGTCTCAAAATTGGACGCTGATCACTATTCTTCCGATCATTGAATTCTTATTGTATGCGAATGGATTCCTTAAATACCGTGCCTCTTCAAGATGGCGCAATTACAGCAGAACGAAATTTTCTAGCCTTTTAGAGATTCTACATCGTTTACGCTTTTTTGCAAACCAGAGTTTTTTTCAAGGCCCCCTTAGATTGCGGTTTTTCATGTTTCCATGTGTTTTTACCGGTACCATGTGTTTTCACACGCAGGTTTAAAACAGTCAATGAGCACGCGTTCTATAGCTGCCTTCAAAATTACTCCCGTTCTACAAAAAAAGCGTCAACGATGGCGAAAGTGTAAGAAATTGTGTGAGGACGGTGGCGGTCCGGTTTTGGGTATTTTTGGTCTTTTGCTGGGAGAGGAAGGGTTGCATGTATGTGGCTCTGAAAGAAACTTGCCGCTTTGGGAAAAAAATTCTCCCGGTTGTTGACTTTTCACGTTATTTTTCCTGTTTCATGTGTATATACTCCACCCCCCCCCTCGGCCGGAAAATCTATTGGTGTGGAAAAACTGGAGTTGGGCTTGGGAAAGGGAGGTCGTACCATAAACCCTCTTTTAGGTGGGGGGGAGTCGTACTGACACCACCATTTCACACATCGCGATGCTGTACCCTGGCCCGAGAAGCTAGAACAGCAGCTGCTTTCTCTAGAATTTTTGCATATTTTTTTCGATTTTTTTGTTGTTTCGGTGTGCTATACACTTCTCTCTCCCCCTCTTTCAACGCTATTGTTTCCCTAGGAGAACATTGATGAATTTTCGAAAGGGAAGCTGCGAAAAGGTGGTAGGAAGTTAGTAAAATTCAGGATGATGGATTTAGATGCATCGGTCACATAGGCGGAAGGACATAGGTAAAGGGAGGTAAGAGTGTGCCAAAGGCAGTAAATTTCGAGGGGGCTCTTATTCTGCAATAATTTTATCCCGCAGCGACAGAACATGTCTTGAATCCACCGCGTCTGCGTACTCAGAAGCAGGGCTCCACTCCCAACTGTTCAAGCTCTATCAAATGTACCCCATTCCGAAAATAGATCCCTCAACATAAAACCTTCGGCCTTAATCCCATCCCATAGACTTTACCTTTCGTCAAGGACTGTTTTCATTGTGATCTCTGGAAAAATGAAGTCTACAGGAAAACTTACTTGCCGATGAGTCATTGTTTGGCGAAAGCTCTCTGCCAGAATACTTCAAGAGCGTTCTGAGAAAGGGGTCATCTCAATGTCAAATGGACAAGTTTTACTGAGATTTTATCGACGAACAATTCGCAGTTTGCTCTTTGGCAAAACGCACTGGTTCCTTGTGACCTTTGCCGCTCCGATTTCCTCAAGTTAACAGCCCATTCGTACGCTTTTCATTTGTAGTGATTGAAAAACTAAGTCCCAATTGTCATATTGTGACACTTGACTCAAATGGTAATCTTATATCTAATGGGTGAACTGTTCAATTTTGCCTTGTTACCCTCTGATTTGATTACTACAATACAACTATAATTGTAATATTCCTGTTAAGTGTTACTGTAATCATATTTATTAGTAGTATTTGGTGTGAACACTAATTCTACTCCGATTCTAATTTTGACAATTTTATTGTTCCTTGTGGGAATTTGTGCCAGTTGGCAAACGGAATAGTACAAACAGGCATTTTCCTATTTTGCGCGTTTAAAGGAATCGATGATTGTTGAATGATGGCTGCGGGTGTGGAAATTATCTCCGAAGGAAAGAACTGTCGCCTGAATATTAGCGGTTCGATGTTTAGATTTTTGGTCCACTTACATTGAGATCAGTCCACTTCAGACTCCCTACAACTCATTTGTAGCCTACTTCATATTCCTCATGATTCGACCTTAAAGCTAGGGGGGACTTTGAAACTGATCACTGCCGGGTCATTGGGGGGAATACAAAACATTAAAAATTTCTCTCAGGACCCAATAAGACTCTGTTCCCCCTCTCTCGCGCGTCCAAATACGACCCCCTCGTTGTGATTATCACAACTTGAGTCGCTCGGTTCGCAAACTAACCCTTTTTCCATGCAATCATACTTGAAATGTTGGAATATCTAATGAGGTCAAATACGGGAACCGGTTCTCTCATCTTCGATAGATGCCATAAGTACATTTTCTAGATGTTACAACCAACATAAAAGGCTTTTTGATAGACATCGCGGCTGCCTTGTGGAATGCTGATTACACAAGCAAAAAATTCGTCCCGTGGAGAAGTAGTTACTTTTCAAAGTCTACTTGTAGCCCTGAACTTGTTCAGAAACAGTCTCTGAACACATAGAAATTTCTGAGGTCGGCAGTGTTGCGGCTGGGGCCTACGATGGTGTACAAAATTTCTGGAACTCACTGGGCAGCCCGACTTAATTGCGCCCCATATCTGGGAGGAGGAGGGCGTGGCTGGGTGCCATCATTCAGACGATTGCTTGATTTTAAGTGCGCTATATGTTCGTCTGAGAGAATCGTGTTCGAAGTCAGCAGGGGTGACTGTGGCCTAACCCCCCAACCTGATACCCAGCATTTCGTGCTGCTATCCGCATTCTCTGACACGCTCCCCATCACTGTCCATCACTGTGCTGTTTCTTTCTTTTCCTCCCTCGAAGGGCGAGGCTAGAAAGATGTTTGTTCGGCACTCCCGCGAAGAGAGGAAATTCGGCTAACAGTGATCCGAAACCTTAAAAACAGGTCCGCTGTAAGCTTAAGATTTGCTTAGAGAGATTTTTCAGAATCCAAAAGGTTCTTAGAACTTCTTACCACTTGGAGATGACCAGAACTTTTTTGCGCGGCAGCGTTTTAGCCGCATAATTGGTATATGTGAGATGATGAGTCGGCGCGAACCCCCCCCCTCTCCCGAAAAAGTTCCTTGTTACGGCCCTCTTCAACAACTTACTGCTGCGACCGTCAAGACACTTGGCTTCTAGCCTGAGACGAAGCCTCTGACCAGTTGTCAGACGTCCAGAAGTAGCAGTAGGCTCGTCGCTGAATAAGAATGCATTCAGCGTCTGAGAGTGGAAAATCGGTGTCCATAAACTGTCAAGGCCATTAGAAGGGTTCCTTGTGCAAAATTAGGTCCACCCCGATATTTTCAGTTTTCTACAAAAGTGCTCTAGATACGGCCCCTCCCCAAGTTTGAACGTCGAGTGATTACCGGGTTAGTCACGGCTCTCCTCTTTCAGTGCCCAAGTACGTCCCTCCCCTCCTCAGTTCTGAAGAATTTCAACGGTGGTGTGACCTACAGTCGCGGAAAAAAATTGGAACAAGCTCAAGTCGTGCGCTTTCTAATAATTTTATACA